AATATCAAATCATTACTCACCCATTCTCTTTGAAAATTGCAGAAATGTTAAATAGGTTAAATAGATGTTGCTGACATCTATTTCAAATGAATTATTTGTTGGATAAATGCCCCAGATTGATTTTATAACAGCTATTACTTTAGCTACCATAGTCGTTCTCTTTGGTCTTTGGTTGTATACTCTGAATCTAAACATGTTCATAATGTTTGTGTATGTGCCTGTTTGTTTAGGTGTTGTATTTCACTACAGAGATGCTTTGGGCCGCTATGCGTTCTCCTTCCATCAGGCCCAGAAGGCTTGTGAGGCCATCGGGGCAGAAATGGCCACTGCTGACCAGCTGCTGGCGGCTTATTCTGATGGATACGAGCAGTGTGATGCAGGCTGGCTGGCAGACCAGTCTGTCAGGTATCTCATCTGTATCTTCTGTATGACGCTCACACTCAATCTGCACATACTCTCAAACTCATGCTCTAAAAACTGGATGTGTTCATGGAAACATTCTAAATACATGATTAATTGTTGAAAATCAAATTTTCCCCAAATCTAGTTCAGTTTCTGATATTTTTGGATGAATAAACTATAATTACTGACTTGCTGGTCCATCAATCTTTAAGAGGTTAATGTTATGTAAGTAATGCTGATTGTTTCCATTCCTCCAGGTACCCAATCCAAGTTCCCCGTGAGGGCTGCTATGGAGACATGGACGGGCAACCAGGAGTGAGAAACTACGGGACAATGGATCCAGATGAACTTTTTGATGTTTATTGTTATGTGGAACAAATTAACGGTATGACAACAACTCACATCTCTCTATATATATTTCCCATATAAATATTTCATTTTCAATTCTATAGCCAAACTTGAATCTTTTAGAAAATACTGATATCAATAGTGATCGCTTAAAAACTACAATAACTATATATCAGTATATATTGATATATAGATGCCTTACATTTGGTTGTTATGATGAAACTTTATAAAAGATATTATGGTTTGTAGGAGAGGTGTTCCATGACTCCGTCCCACAGCTGCTGTCATTTGCCGAAGCACGGTCATACTGCAGAGCCGCAGGGGCAGAGCTGGCGACAACTGCACAGCTGTACTTGGCATGGAGTGAAGGTCTGGACCGTTGCAGCCCAGGTTGGCTGTCCGATGGCAGTGTGCGCTACCCAATCATAACCCCCAGAGAGCGCTGTGGGGGGCCTCAGGCAGGCGTCAAAACCCTCTACCGCTTCAGCAACCAAACTGGTTTCCCAGAGCCGTCAAACCTTCACGACGTTTATTGTGTGAGAGGTGAGTGTTTTGTTATTCAAAGATAAATGTGCATAAAATAGAATTAAATTGCATGCTTTGATATGAATGCAAACTTTTCACTACTGTTAATTCCTACTCATTTGGACAGTTGCGTTAATAAGAAATTGTTGCTGTTGTACATTACTTCTTGTATTTTATTTCTAATTACTTAACTGTCCTCTACAGACAACAGAAATGCTCCCACTGACTCTCCTTTCGACTACATGGCCACAGAGTCTGAAGACATCGGACAAGATGTTGTTATTCTTACGCGAACAGATCAAGAGCTGCACCTGAACCAACATGTAGAGGAAGTGGAGCGAGAGGCGCTTAGTGTAGTTGAATCTTTTCCCTTTGTCTCACGTCTCTCCACTGAGGAAAACCTGGTGGACACGCATCCAACCGTTATATCAGACACAACAGCGTCTCCCCTCAACACCACATATGTGGACCTCCTTCAGCCATTTGATGAAATGTCATCTGCTACGGAAATGACCTCCCACTCCCAGCAACCTCTGATGAACAGCACAATCAGCAGCACAGAAACCTACAATGTTCCACAAAATACATCACTGATGCCTAGTGTTCACAATGACACAGCTTCCCACCAGAGCTTGAACTTCACCGTTCACCATTTTGAACCTGAAAACACCACAGGGTTTCCTGAACTATCATACGAGCCTCCCACTCACAACCAAACGGTACCAGACACAAACCCCGAAGAGCAAACACAAATGTCTGAGAGAACGAAGGATTCCCAAGAAGTACAAGAGACACATTTGGATTTAATCAGATCACAAGCCAATTACAGTGAAGCAGACAGAAACCATACTCAGGAAGAGAATATCCTGGAAGCGACACCAGAAACCTCTGACAACATCCTCCAGCCTCACCTGGAGGAGGCAGCAGTAGCACGGCCTGAGCAGAGGTTTCTCTCGACTCAGTCGCCAAAAGAAGCAGGAGAACTTCTAACTACCAAAGCTTCAACTTCACTGTGGCCCCCTCTTGATGGATCTGGAGATATTTCTCAAGGTATGATTTAATACAATTATGATATAAGCAAAACTAAGAGCCCACGGTCATGCTAGCAGCTCTTAGAGGATGTACTCTTGCAGTACCTTACATATACACAATGACAATACTATATGTTAATGTTAAGCAGGTATGTTTACCAGGTTTACCACTTTAAGTTTATAGTGTGAGCATGTTTGTTAATCAGCACTAAACAAAATACAGCTGAGGGTGATGGGAATATATTAGTTTTGGATGAATAGTGTTTGTTTGATTTACTGACACTGTAATCTATAGAGCTATGCTGCTAGAAACATCAGTTTGCTAATAGATACATACTTAAAGCTCCAAAAATGTTTTGTCTTGTTTTTCTCCAGAGAGTGACCTTGACATTGGAGCCGTCACTTCCATCACCACATCAGATTCTTCCACTTCTGGTGTAACCACTCACCCGTCACCTTCTGCTTCACCTAGCAGCACTCCTGCTGAACCGCGGACTGCACTTCCAAATCCAACGTCTTCATCTGGGTCACCAAATACTGATAAATTTGGCTTCAGTGTCCTCTCCACAGTAGCACAGTTATGGGAGTCTTCCATTTCAAAACAGGAGGGAAGTACAAGCTTAGAATCTGAAGACGCAGTCACAATAGAAAGTGAGGAGAAAACGCTGCACCCAACAAGGGCTCAAGAAATCCTTGTTTCTGGAGCAAGTCTGGCAACCACAGAGTCTTCAGCAGGGCCAGACACTTCTCAGATGCCCACTGATTCCACCACAGAAGAGTATAGGACATCAGGGTACAAAGTGTATTGGGACCCTAAAACCATCACTTATGAAGAGGCAAGTGGACAGGAGCCAGGTGCAGTTACTGCAGTCATGGTGGAAGACATTAAATTTGCCCCAACCCTTGAAGAGGAAATCAAAGTTTCCTCAAACGTTGAAGACAAGGCTGATGTTTCCTTCACTGTTACTCCCACTATTAAAGATGAAGCTAATGTTTCCCCAACCATTGTAGATGAAGCTAAAGATTCCTTTTCACTTGAACAGGAAGATAAAGTTTCCCCAACCGTTGAAGACGTGACAGGTACTCCAGTTCTTAAAGATGAAGTCAAAGTTGCACCAACATTTGAAGATGAAGTTTCCTTTTCACTGGAAGTTACTGTTACCCCAACACACGAGGATGAAACAAATGTTGCCCCAACACTTGAAGAAGAAGCTAACATTGCCCAAACGCTTGAAGAAGCTAATGTTGACCCAACCATTGATGATGCTGATGTTGCCCCAACACTTGAAGAAGAAGCTAACATTGCCCAAACACTTGAAGAAGCTAATGTTGACCCAACCATTGATGAGACTGACGTTGGCCCAACCCATGAGGAAGTTAACGTAGCCCCAACCCTTGAAGGAGAAGCTAATGTTTCCACACCATTAGAAGAAGATATTGTTACCTTAGCCCATGAAGAAGAAGCTGACATTGCTTCAACCTTAGAAGAAGAAGCTAACTTGGCTCCTACCATTGAGGACTTCACCATCTTTCCTCTCGATTCTCTAACGTCTGACTGGGCTCTGCTGACAACCACAACTGGACCCCAAGAATCCCTCAACGGTCTTGAGTACAGCAGGAAGACCTCCCCCACCACCTCCCCAGCAGCTCCAGATTCCTCCTCGAGTACAAAGCCGACCAGGGCCACCAGGGCCACCAGAGCCACGACCACCGCCACCATCAAGACCACCACACACTGGTCTAGACGCACCTGGAGCCCGACCACCACAACACAGAGAGTTTTCCACAAGACGACAGAGCCCCAGAAGGTGACGCACCTCATACCACCAGTGGATCAGGGTCTGGTGGATGGTGAGTTTAGTCTCACCCAGCCGCCCACCCTGCTTATCTTGCCCAATGAGAGGGCAGCTGTGGGCGGTACAGGGAAATCTTCAGGTAATGTTAAAGCCACTTTCATCAGCCTAACTGTCCTCCTCTTTCTACTCGACGCAGTGATGCACTAAAATCCCTGATCTGTCTTCTGCCCCAAACTACCTTTGCTCCATTTTCTGTAAAACACCTCCCCTCCTTTTTCAAATGACTTCCCACGTTTGCTTCATTTGTCTCAGAAAGCCCACTCACCCCTCTGATTCCTCCTGATTCTCATATCTATCCTCCTGATTCCTACTCCCCTTTTGGGACAGCTCCCATTTGGCATTGGTCAAAAGTCCAGTCTCGTTATGCATGATGTTTCCCTCCTCATCCAAAGATTGACTTCTGTGAAGTACTGGTGTGCTGGAATTAATGTTTTAGCGATGTTAAAAGCTAAGGTAAACCTTTCACAAAACCTTGATCCATGGATTTCTTTTTCTTAAAATTAACCTCTCAACAAAATGCTAATTATACTCTTCACAATCTTTTTCCTCCTGTTGTCAAAACTCACCACGTTTGCAGTAATCTGGAAGAAACATGACAAAGGGACTTGATCTTTCTCTGTTACAGCATTTACGTTGAATGTAATGACACTGACCTGTGCAACCGCACTAATGTTTTATGTTTAATCCATAACTGTCGGGTCATCAACTGTTGTTATTCCTCAGATTTAGAATTCTTGTACTATTTTAGACTAAAGCACAGTTTATTATTATGTTGAATGTTCATAAGCACAATTATTGTTCAGTGTTGATTTGTTGTAGCATTTAATGTTTCATAGTCGTGTCATGTTCTATTTTTTAATCATAATCATTCATGATTTGTACAGTGTTGTGTATTTTTAGGTGTAATAATGATAAAGTTAACCAAGTGATGATTGTTTCTCCTCTCGCCATCAGTTGAAATCTTTCAAATTGTTTTTCTTCAGTCTCAAAAATCTTAATTAGACACTTTCTTGCTTCATAACAGAACTTAACTTTAAATTAAAATTCAAAGTGATACAAATACATTACTGTGCACGTCGTGCATGTGCACAGGTACGTTCAGATCATTTGAAGATTACTGTAACACCAAGCAGACGTGTCTTTACTGGAAATCCTGTCTTCACAAAACCAAGAGTCATTCCAGTCAGCCATATTTGTGGTGACAATTGGCCAGTATAATTAAAAGGGAATTGTGGGAAACAGCAGCTGATGTAACAAGAAGCTCTGCAGAAGTGTTTTCATTGAATGGAGGACAGAACATTTCACTGTATTCATCATGGAGGTGATGTCAGATTTATCTGATAATTCTTCCTAAACTCACATTTACACGTACTAAAAAGCTCCAATTAATCCATGGTTGCAGGTACAGTTTTTTTTATACTGTTATATAACTATATATAAGTATATTACTATTCGTGGGGATGGTAAAAGGTGTGAGGGAAAAGCATTCCCTCACATCTGTGCATTTTTGAAGCACACTTTCTGTCGAAGACATTCTCAGGCATCCACAAAGTTTGCCTTAATGAATGAGTACAGCAAAGATCAGAGCATTCAGAGAATTATCCAGTTTTTTTACATTAAATCTCAGTTTCATCATCTTTGGCGAGCAGTTTAAAAAGTTAAAAAACTGGACTGTTCATAGTTATAACGACCAGAGATTCTGCAGCTTATAACAGCTGAGAAAGGTCACTGCTCTTCCACATTACTGACCTCACAGCATCAACAACAGTTACTGTATTGTCATGTGAAGGGTGAGAATTAAACCAAGGTCTCTGTTATTGTGCAAACTTGACAAAACAACAACTTTGCAAAAATGAGGTTTCAGTGGTGACTTGAAAGGAATCTTAAAGATTCTTGTTGCTCCAGTTGTGTATTTTTCGGCAAAACGGAACAACAATTTACTTTACAGCCTGTGATTCTCATTAGACTTGTGTAACAACCTGTCATACACACAGTAACTTAAAGAGAGCTGTCTGAATAGCATCAAATGTGTGCTCGGTATAATGACAGACACCACAGAGTTCCTGTTTATAGGGTGTCAAGGGACACAAACCAAATCCACTTGTAAAATGTTTAATTTCAGTTGGGACACACATGCCACCATTTTAGCCTTCAACAGCAAAGTTTTACTGCAACTCCTAACTCCCTCTTTTCCCTCAAGACTCAAATAAATCAGGAAACCTTGTGATGACAACGCATTCAGTCAAGATTAAGAGAAATTAGTTTTTTAGTTTGTCAACATGGTCAAAAAGGCACTTAGTTGGGGTTTTTTCTGGTATAATGTGTTTGCATGTCAAACCTAATAAACAAAATGTTATTTTTTGTGTAATGTGCAGGTGTGAACTACAGTTTGTTGTTCTAAACCACAGACAATTAAACTGAAGACATGTGCAGTATGGAAACTGGTTATAAGGAAGAAAAAGATTTGTGTGTTTTTTTTTTACTCTGTTAGTGAGAAAATGATGAATAGGAAAGAAAGAGAGAAAGACGTGATGAGTTAGACATCATGATGTTTGTCCTCTGCTGCCCTCCTTTGGCTCATGTTGGAATTTTTTTTTAACTTAAGGCTTTGACGTTTATTTTTTTATTTATTACAATTAGCACAGAAGTATGCACGATACCTTTGATACGTGATTTCCAGATTTTTGAAACGACTAATAATAAAACGACTAATTCTTAAGATTTGCCTCAATTGCTATTTAGTATTTATCACTCTTTCAAATCCACCAAATCTTTTGCTTATACATGCAAATATTTTATTTTATATGCATTATTCACAGAAAAATGCTAGACTTGTTTCTATGTTGTGTGCTCTCTTGCAGTTAAAGCATCAAAACAATCTGCTAATAACCGGACCTTGTGTTTCAGATGCGTGTGAAGACGACCCCTGTCTCAACGGAGGCACCTGTACGGACAGAGACGGGCAGATTAAATGTCTCTGTTTGCCAACGTATGGAGGAAACCTCTGTCAGACTGGTGAGCTCTCTCTGAAAATCTCTTCTGTCGAGTTTTTTTTAAGATGGAGATCTGCATTAAGTTTGTTTTAAATTCCCACAAACAAGCATTTGTGATCAAGAGGTTCCTTTACTCATCTGAACCAGCCTACATTCAGTTTCATTCACACGTCTCCAGTCATTTCTCAAGACTCTTCATCAACCGCTCTCCTCCTCTGTGTCTCTTTCAGACCTGGAGCAATGTGAACCAGGCTGGGACAAGTTTCATGGTTTCTGCTACCGACACTTCAGCCAGCGTCTGAGCTGGGAGGTGGCGGAGCAGCACTGTCGCATGCTGGGGGCTCACCTGGTGTCCATCATGACCCCCGAGGAGCAGAATTACATCAACAGTAGGTTCACTGAGACAATCTGTCTCTATACACAAACAAATGATATCGTTTTGTTGAGTTTTATATTTCATCTTTTTGTCTTGTTCCCCAGGCAACTACAAGGAGTACCAGTGGACCGGTCTGAACGATAAGACCATCGAGGATGATTTCCGCTGGTCTGATGGCAACCCTCTGGTCAGTATTATTAGAAAACAGTATAAGCAAACATACAGCTACAGGCTGCTTAGATGAAGCAGTTTCGTCGATAATAACAAAATCTCCATCACTATCTAACCTAACAATTGCATAGTTCTTTGTGATATAATCTATGGACATACCTTGTTTTCCCACTATGTTTACAGTTGTATGAGAACTGGTACAGAGGTCAGCCGGACAGTTACTTCCTCTCAGGAGAAGACTGTGTGGTGATGGTGTGGCACGATGACGGACGCTGGAGTGACGTGCCCTGCAACTATCACCTGTCCTACACTTGCAAGAAGGGCACCAGTGAGTAAACCGTCACCATACAGCAGTAATTTATAACAGTTGAACAACGCAAGGAGGCAAAGTTTGTGGGAAAGAAGATCTATGTATTGTTTTTTTCTTTCTTCAGCCTCGTGTGGTCCACCACCAAAGGTCCGAAACACCTCCATATTTGGAAAAGCTCGACAGAGATATGAAACAAATGCAGTTGTGCGTTATCACTGTGTCGGGGGTTTCCAGCAGAGACTCAATCCTGTGATCAGGTGTCTGTCCGGAGGCCTATGGGAGAGACCACAGATCATGTGCATCCCTGGTAAGATAAGAGTTTAACCCTGAACAAAGATTAACAATCTGTATTTACTATAAAACTTGAACACAATGTTTGACATAAAGTTACTGGTATGTGGATCTACAGTCCGTATTGAACAGAATTAGATAAGACACAAATTCAGTCCTATATGGAACCAGGGCCAAATATGTAAAAATTAAACAAAATAGATTTGTTTTGTATGGAATGAAAGCATCAAGCAGAAAGAAAATATGATTTATTTATTTTTAGAGGGTGGAGGTCCAACACAGGATCCTGAAGCGATGTCACCGACCAACAGCAACTTTGCAGCGATCGAAGACGGTTTTGAAGCCACTAAAGAGACGCCACAGTACTGGGACATCAAGTTTTAAAAGTCAGTCGTTCTTTTCTTGTCTTGTTTTGTTAAACTCTGCTGCTGTAACATGACAAAAGATCTGGGTGCTTTTACCAATGAACGCTCACAATGAACCACAAAAGCGAAGGAAAATGGGCCACAGACGACTTTTTAGATGTGCTAACTTAAAAACATTCCTATTTTGATTACCTTGAAAAATGCATTTAAAATAAAAGAAGCGTTGTGACTGTCAGACATTTAAAAATAATTTAAAGTGATGACCTGATGAGTCCTTTCCACTTGAAAGAAATAAAGTAAATGTGCAAAGTCTTGATTTCCTATACCAGCTCCAAATCTACATTAATAACTGCTCTCTATCTGGTTTTTGTGACGTCAAGAACCTTTTTATTAAATGGTGCTAATGTCTTCAAACCTTTATATCCAACAGATATGTTTGTTTTCAGTGTGATGTGAGAGTAGAGACGTGTACCTGCTTTTTTAAATCTATAACTCCAAAGCACAAAGCCAACGTTAACAAAAAATGAAATAATTACTGTACATATATTATTAGCTGTCACTCCTGTGATTGCTGTCGGTGTATTGAAACCTCTGACTTCCAGCAGACACAGTTTTGTTCGTCAGCTTTATGTTGTAATAAAGTTTTGTAGAACAGAGCAAAGAATAAATCGTTCTCTTATTTTACCCTCAGCACCGTGTGGGCGTCATTTCATGTGTCCTTAGGACACGGAGGAGGTAAAAGCTGATGCTGATGTTTGGTGATTGTCTTCATGTGTTTACAGGACGGGTGGTAAAAACATTTTTTTTGGGATCACTTGGATGAAGATTCCACAAGTGATTTCAAGAGGGAGGAACAGATGAGAGAAAACTGAATACTGTGATTAAAACCTTTAAAAACATGAGTGTGATGATTATTTAATGCATGAAATCCATTGATAGATGAAGTAGACCCTGGTTTTCTCCCAGGAAGGAACTGCATCAATGAATCAGTAATTTTCCTCTAAAGTCCACTTTATATTGCATTTCACTCTAAAACAGAAAAAACAAAGAAAAGTTTGGGTTTCAATTGAACAGAAAAAAAAAAAATCTGCGACGACGCACGATGAAGGTCATGTGACCAGTGTGATCACGTGCACCTGCGCCTACACCTGTCCACTCGAGTTTTACGTCACGGTTTCGTCAGTGCGTCGGAAAAAATGGAGGTAACCGGAGGCAAACAGGAAGTAAGTGGACAAGCGTTTGTAAATGTGTGTTTTCATGCTCATTTAGTTAAAATGAAAGGTGAAGATGTGTGACATCATCAGGGACGAGGAAGAAAACCGAGTTAAAAATAACATGTTCGTGTGTTGACGTCATTAAGGTGCAGGTGAGTTAGCTATAGCAGGTGAGTTAGCTATAGCAGGCGAGTTAGCTGTAGAAGGTGAGTTAGCTGTAGAAGGTGAGTTAGCTGTAGCAGGTGAGTTAGCTGTAGCAGGTGAGTTAGCTGTAGAAGGTGAGTTAGCTGTAGCAGGTGAGTTAGCTGTAGCAGGTGAGTTAGCTGTAGAAGTTAGCTGGAGCAGGTAGCTAGCATATCAAACTTCCTGATAAAAGATGATACAATCAATCAAAGTTCATGATTTTCCATTGTCTTTATATTTTTCTGTATCTTTCCTGAGGTAAACAACAGTTCATTTTATATTATTCTTTTATCAGTTTCAAACCAACAGTGTTTATTGACAGTTGACACGTGTTTCTGTCTGAAAGACACTTTGTGTAGTAACTTTTCATGTGATACACTTTAGACTACAGTTGCGGCTACTCTACCACCAGGTGGCATCATTGTGCCGTGAATAGTTTTGATTTGCATTTTATAGATGAGGAAAGTGAAGCTGTATGATAGATTACATCACACAGGCTGAGACTCAACAAATACAATTGACTGTGGCATATTTCAGACAGCTTTACATTTCATTATATAGTATGAAACCTTTTTAAAATCATTGTAGACACATTGAAAAAACGTTACCTTTAGTTTACAATATGGTGTTTGATTGTCAGCCAACTGTGCTTCTTTTATTAGGTGACTAAAAATACTTGAAGACCTCTGCACTGTCAACGTCTATAACTGCTTTTATCTGTTTCATGACTGTAAATGGAATATTTTGCTAGTTTATTTTGAAATCAGACTAAACAAGCCACTGAAAAATCCGGTTATGCTCATTATTCAACAGATTAACACCCAACTGTATCATTAAGTCAGAAATTCTGCATGTTTAGTGCAGCAGTGGAAGATTTATTAGTAGAATTAGTAGAAGTACAGTTAAGAGTAAAAGTAAATAAAAGTCCTGCAAACTAGAACAATGTGTACACCAAGATAAAATTAAAAGTACCCAAAGTAAAAGCCGTCTCAGAACAACCTAATATTTGGACTGCAATGCATATTATTTTACTGGAATTTAGTATTGATGCATAAATGTGTGTATATTGCTTTTAATGTCACAGCTGATGAAGGTGAAGCTAAGACTTTATATGTTGCTGAGTCTATTGTGAAAGAAATCCTTATCTTATTTTAACCTGTTGCAAAAGATGATAGATCATTTGTTTCAGATAATGAAATGATATTTTCAACAAACTGACAACATAAAGTAGCAGAAGCAAATGGAGATACTCATCTATTGAGTAAAGGTCCTTTTCAAGCACTAGATGTAAATTTATTATCAACATTACACTTGCCAACGTGTAACCAGCATTTTCAGCATTATATTTTTGCATGTGCGTGTGTCTATGCAGAATGCATCAACCTGCGTGTTCTCTCTAAGCAACACGCCACTAAGCAAGGCATTAAGCCTGAAACAGATCCACATTAGTGCTGCTCACTGGCCGAAAATACTGGATTATAGTTGCACCCGCAGCTCCCCTGGTGCGCAATATGTCGTGCAACCCTCCTCCCTTCGGTTTCCTGCTCAATTAAAAAGACCGATCCACATTATCAGAGCCGATCAAAGGGCGAAGTTGAATTCATAAAGCATGGGCGGATGTTCAGAGAGGAGTCTGTGTTCATTGAGCGGCTCTGCAGTTCTCAGGCCTCCAGCGTAGCAGCACACAGCTCGGCCTGAATGCAGTGGGCTGGCGTCCGTCCCCTTCGTCACAGAGCTGATAACACAGCTCCAGATGGGAGCGTATTGTGGCCTGTGACCCTGAGGTGACGGGGTCAGAGTAGTGTGAACAGAGGCCAGTCTTAAAGCACTCCTCGTGGAGTTCCTCTTTCTTCCAAAGGCGCGTGGCTCGCTAATTGAGGGCCCACCTCTGAAAACCCAGTGCGAGGTCCTAGACACTTGAAAATGACCATTGGTGTGAACTCCAGGGAGAGGAGAGGCCTGTGGGGAATGAAAAAGGCAGGAGTTGTCATTATTTGTGATGAGCTGTTAGAGCTGCTGCCATATTGCTTCATGTAGGTCTTAAATTTCATTCATCATGGTTTTTAAGTCTTAACCTTTAACTTTAAACCTATAGAAACCCTCACCTAACCATCCAAAGTTACGTCCTCAACCTGCCTTTCAATCTCAACTTTCCAAAACCCATAATATTTTCAAAAAAATGGAACCAAATGTAAGAGATTTTTGTTTTTGAAAAGGGTTGTAAATGAAAAAATAGATTGCAGATTGTCAGTCTGATTGTTTCTATATTACATTGCAACAAAGAAAATAAAATTTTTCTAAAGAACTTGACGTTTAAAACCCACATGAGATTCAGGTGTAGATGAAACAATTAGATATAAATAATTTAAAGTCTGCAAATTCTGTTTAACGAGCACATTTTCCAGACTTCTCGTGTCGCATTGTTCATCAATGTGAGACGAATCTGCCACCAGATTTTTCCAGGAAAACTCAAGAGGAACATATTAGTAATAATTGAACAATTAAAGATACTTCACAAGATTTTGTTCGTCTGCACAATGAAAAGACAGAATGGTGAGAAGTTGAAAAGGCGTGCCAAGTCTGCTGGGAACCTCAGCAGTGGGCTTTACCCACAACCCTTCACCCCACCACCACCGCTTGCTGGGATACAAACAACCTTTGTGGCTTCTCTCCCTCTGCTGAATTCCAATGTGGACAAATGGGGTCTGAGCAGCAGCATCTCCCTCTGGTACTACTACCACAATATTCAGACAAATACTCAAAGTGTGTGTGTCCTTAGTCACAAATAAGTCAAGTGGAATACGTCTTCTCCCATTGATAATATTTAACTCATTTGCAACTCATTTACATTTTTCTCAAAACCTAAATGAGTTGCAAAGTTAATTTCACTCCCCTCACTTAGATGTGTTCTTAATTTGACTTTTACAAAATCGGTTATTGGAGTTCTTCATTGGCTTTTGCATTTTTAAGGGATTTAACAATACAAAATAAGAAATGTTATACTTAATTTACTATTTATGTTTTTGAATGGAACAACCAGATTATACCAGCAGCAAATTTTTCTATTTTCAGTAAACTCATAAATGTGACGTTTACTGCCAAGCCTATGAAAGAACAGAAGTTGGTATGGGAACGTTCCATCTTTACTGTAGCGCTCTGCTTATTATACAGTAATCAGTGTCTGAACACTGACTTTGAGGATTGTCACAGGAAAAACACTAAACTGCTCAAAATGTCAGATTCAGGGTGAAATTTATTTCAGATTATTTCCTTTGAGACTCTTTAACTTCTGTTAACACACAAAAGGATAAAGCAATGTTGACTTTACTTTAAAAAAACAAACAATAAAATGTAGATATAATACATCAGGGTGGATGCTGCATTTTGTAATGTTTTCTTTGCAACCTTGTACTCTCATATGTAATATTGCATATGAAGTAACATATATTTTACATTTGTTTATTGTATCATCATCATATAATTTTTATCAGTCAATTACATCATCATTATAGAATACTCTATTTCACTTTTTGCTACTATATCTCATCCTGGTTGTTACAGCGACTGCTTTTTACTAAAATACTACATTTGTCAGTTGTCTCTGGTAAACAAACAATGCAATAACAGAATTGTTTCTGAAGTGCCTCAAATACATGAGTAATAAAAATAACTTTTGTATTTTGACTAAATATCTATATTTATTGTCTATATAGAAGTACCTCAAACATAACAGGTTCAGTACCACAATTGTTTTTTCAGTTATCTGCGAACACTGTGATTCCCTTTTCAAATCAGTAATTATAACGTTTTCATACACACACTGTCAGCAGTGCCGTGCGAGAACTATATCCTCGTAGACGTGAGTGTTGGTGGAAGCTGCAGCAGCTGGATGCAGCTCAGCTTCTCAGCATGATGAAAAGTGCGAGCTGCCTGCAGTCAGCGACTCTGCTCTAAGATCAGCTCCACTGATATAATGGCTTCTCTAATCCGAGCCAATTAGACCCACAGGGTACAGGGAGTGGCTGTTTTCACACTGCACCAATTTGCGCTGGGGGTGGGAGGACTGATTGACAGGCAGTCGTGTGAAAACACAGAGACAAATAGGTTATAATTTGAACCCATGGAGAGGCAATATGGAGGGTGAAGCCTGCATGGGAAAAGATTTGTAGCAGTATCTTTCACTGATGTCTTTTCTTACTATAAGAACAATCATCAATCATCAGGCCTTCGATCAAACCCATAAAAACATAATTGAACCAATTTGACCACATTGACGATCAATATGAACAAATA